CTCTCTCTTTGTTATGGAGACAGGGTCTCTCTGTAGCCTTAGCTGGCCTGGAACCCATCACATAGACAATGTTGGCCTTGAACTCAGAGATTTGCCTAGTTCTGCCTCCAGAGTGTTGGTGGCCTGTGCCACCGCTCCCAGCTCAAGAAACACTCTTAACTGTTGAGCCATCTCTCCAGCCCTCCTGGAACATAGCCAGTGATCTCAGCAACCTTTGCCTGTAAGAGCTGGGAGATTTTATCAAGTGTGGGAAACCTACCAGAAAAAGGGCATTAAACGAAGTTGCTGAGGCTAACTCAGTAAACCCTCACAGCTACCCTCATAGGATGTTTTTCTCAACCCCACCTCCTCCCATTACTATTGCAGCTCTCCTAATGACAGGAGTGGGAGGAGATGCCTCTGACATTTTCTTGTCTAGAGCTCCTTTCTCTCAGACTCATTTACGATCTATAGTCTTTCATCATAGTGCTCTGAATATCCCAAGTTACCTAAAATTAACATAGACTTAATTGGATTGGATACTATTAGAGGGTTGCCAACTATCATAAAACATTTGGTGGGATTCAAGGACATAAAAATAAAGGCATTATGCAAATATTTGGTTATTAAGATATTCTGCCTTGAGGGGATAAAGTCAGAAAATAGAAAATGAATGAGAATCAAACGTTTTTTGTTATGTTTTAATACCAATTTTCTTTAAGAGGAATATTTGGGGGATTGGGGAGATGGCTCAGTTGGTAAAGTGCTTGTGTGTAAGAGTGAAGATTCACGTTTGATCCCCAGCACATACATAAAAAGGTCGAGCGTGTGTGAGAGCACGTGTGTGTGTGTGTGTGTGTGTGTGTGTGTGTGTGTGAATGAGATGGGGCCGACAAGAAGATCCCTGAGGATTTTTTGGCCAGCAATTGTAGCTGCATTGGTGAGCTGCCAGTTAAGTGAGAGACCTGTTCAACAAATAAGGGAAGGGCTTGGGCAGTTGAGTGATGTTCCTGCAGTGACTTCTGACCTCTGCTCACATGCCCACTCACACATCAGTGTGTACCTGCATGCACACATGTGTGCGCACACACGGGAGTGGTATTTCACCTCTTTAGCATCATGCCTTTGCTAACACAAGGGACTAGATGCGTGAGAAAAATCACTGGATTCTCTGGATGATAAGGCACTATGGAATATGGTGGATAGAGCTATGGAAAGGGAGGTGAGAAGGCAGAGTGGACATACTGAGGCCAATGAAATGAACAGGTTTGATTACAGAGTACTTGGTCTGACATATGTTTTTTTTCCCTTCCATCCGGATAACACTTGTTATTGAGTAGCTACCATGGGTAGTGTTTCTCTGTACAAGGATCATTATAACAGTCCAAAGGTGAACTAGAGATCACTTCTGTTCTCACAGTAAGAGAGTAAGATGGACCTATCTGAAGACATTTTCCCATTGACTTGTTGAGAACAATTGGGATGACAGACCATGACTAGCTCATTCATTATCTTTGGACATTGAGATTCTAATTGACTGTCTTATTGGTGATGAGATTTTCAAACTTGATGCAATTTTACTGCGGGACTCCTGCATCTCACGGGAAGAATTTAGCCCAGTAACTTCAGTAGGAGTATTTTCCTGCCCGATTAATGATTTTGATGCCTGGATATTTCAGTGTCGAGAATTTCAGATATTATTTGGGAGAACTGAAGCTCTCTGGCTCTGCATGACTGATCCGATAAACTCCAGTCCCAAGCAGCGTACGAATGGCCAGCAATAGAGATTCTAAGGACTCCAATTTATTCTCAATATTATTTCTGCAACGGTTTGGATGTAAACAATGAAATGTTTTCCTTTGTAAGAGTTGCCATGGTCCTGGTGTCTCTTAACAGCCGTAGACGTTCCAAGACCCTGGCTCTGGAGGAAGATGGTCTGGCTTTTAAATTTTCAGTTTCATCGTTCATCCAAAGCATAATCAAAGTAGAATATTCAAAGGATGCAGCTTCCCAGAGACTCTCAAGGATTTAACTTTAAACTGGGGATATTAATTGCAGCTACCAATCTGATTGCTGTGGAATTAAACTAGAGATTGCACTCAGAGGGTTGGCTGAAGAATTGGTACATGGTGATTAATGAATGCTAGTCCTCACTTTTCTCAGGCATCATCATCACCACCATCACCACCATCACCACCACCATCATCATCACCACCACCATCACCACCATCATCATCACCATCATCATCACCACCATCATCATCACCATCATCATCACCACCACCATCACCACCACCATCATCATCACCACCATCATCATCACCACCATCACCACCACCATCATCACCATCATCATCTTCACCACCATCATCACCACCATCATCATCACCACCACCACCATCATCACCATCATCATCACCACCATCATCATCACCATCATCATCACCACCACCATCACCACCACCACCATCATCACCACCATCATCATCACCACCATCACCACCACCATCATCACCACCACCATCATCACCACTATCATCATCACCACCACCACCATCATCAACACTACCATCATCACCACCACCATCATCATCATCACCATCATCATCACCATTATCATCATCACCATAATTATCACCATTGTTAATATCTTTATCCTTCCTACCTTTCAGGATGGTCAATAATAACCACCCGGGGCTTTGATACTTTTTGATAAATTTTGATTTATTTATTCTTTTTGGCTTGGAGAGAAGTTCCTCATGTCTTTGGCTTTTTAAATATTTTGATAAACTTAGAGGCAGCGTTAGCCAGGTAAATGTGAGTCAGTTATAGGAGAGTTTGAATACACAGAACAGCTGGAATTAAAAACTGAAACAATGATCTAAAACTGCAAGACGGCATTGAGCAGATTCAAGGACACAGCATGGCATTCAGATGAAAGGTCACGAAGATAAAAATAAAACTGTCCAGGGCTGGAGAGATGGCTCAGAGGTTAAGAGCATTGCCTGCTCTTCCAAGGGTCCTGAGTTCAATTCCCAGCAACCACATGGTGGTTCACAACCATCTGAACTGATATCTGATGCCCTCTTCTGGCCTGCAGACAGACACACAGACAAAATATTGTGTACATAATAAATAAATAAATATTTAAAAAAAATAAATAAATAAAACTGCCCAGCCACAGCACTGGGAGGAGGTTCATCTGAAAAGGCCTTGAGGAGTTTGTTGGCTAGCAGCTGAGTCTGGGGACCTGATGTGAGGCTTCCCTTGGTCATTAACTTGGAACAAGGTTAAGTTAACAAGGGTGCTGTGGCTAAGTCAAGGAAGCATCAATCCCCTTTTCTGTTGTCCTGGTCAGCAGAATCTGTTGTATGATTATATTTACATTGGGGGTAATTCCATGATCATTTTGCTATTTCGTCAAAGGTTCGAGCTTTTTAGCTGTGGATAGAAGGATCTGGGCTGGGAAATCTGTTAAATCATCCGGTACTACTCCCCGCAGATTGTGGTTGAGGACTTGTGCTAAGTATGAGTTGAGGAGGAACATTAATTAGAAAAACAGGTACAAATATCACTTCTACTTGCATGTGTGCATGTATGCAGATGTGTGCATGCGTGCACACGCATGCATATTATCAAGTGTGCAGGGAGATCAGAGGACAACTTAGTGTAGGTGGCATTTTCTTTCTACCATGTTGGGTCCCAGGAACTGAACTCAAGTCATTAGGCAGTAAACACATCAACCCACAGTGCCATATCACCAGCTTTATTGAGAGAAGTGTGTGTATGTGTGTGGAGGTGTGTGTGTCTTATTTTGGGTCACCCTTCCGTCTCTTTCTCTCTCCCACCCTTCTCTCCAGTGCCTCCCACCTTGGCACTGCTCTAGGGCTAACTTAGTTCAGTGCTCAGCTCCACTGATCCTCCTCAGCTCCACTCCGTCTGTCCACCAGGGGCTTCCTCTTAAGCCAGTGTGATGGCAGAGTCACTGTGGATTTCCTAAGCATCCAAAGAACTTGTATAAGACAGAGAATGCACTATTCACAGTGGTTAAGAATGCAGCGGCACTCAGTGGTCAGGGACAGGAACAGCTTGACAAGAACTTCAGCCTCGGTGAAGAGACACTGTCCTTCCATTAGGGGGAGTGACTTGTGTTTGTGACAGATAACAGGACTGGGATTTTAACATATGCGGGATTTATTTTTGGGGGTTGGGGGCGTGTGGGGTGGGAGTAGGGGAGAGAGCTGGGGCCGGAGGACCAGAAGTTTATTGAGTGCACTGAAAGTCAGTGTGGTACAGGAAATTTGGGTTACTGAGGTTATTTAACTGCTTTCATTCTTAGACTGGAAAGGTTTGCTGACATTTGGATTTGATCTCATTTAGCTGGGGGTCCGCTTGGAGGCAATGATTGGATCTTATTTCCTAGTTCACTTACAGCGGCTATTCAGGCCATGCTAGACCAAAGAAGGACGGCATTAGGCAAGTGGAACTTTGGAGGGCAATTAAACCAGGCCGTTTAAGCTGCGGCTTCAGTGAATTGGAGGGCATCATTCCTTGCAGTTCTGAGCCGTAACTGATGCATAACCGCTCCACCTTATGGCCATGCGAATACCATTCTCAATCCAGTGGGGTCTGTTTCTCTATCGGTTTTTAATTCCATAGCTTGTTTTCCTTGAAGATCTTCAACACCCCAGTCTCCTTTCTCTCTCTCTCTCTCTCTCTCTCTCTCTCTCTCACACACACACACACACACACACACACAAACACACGCATACACACACACTCATACACACACATACTCACACATATACATTCCTCCACACATTTTGTAGCTTATATCATATAAAAGGCGTGTCTTGCATGAAATCGCTTTTAAAGGCGACACCACCCTAACTGTGATCCCTGTAGTCACTGCAAATTGAAGTGTGGCACGCAGATGTCTAGACATTTCACAGGTGTCTTTTCTCACAGTTGTATGTCTTTTCTGCACTTTAAGGAAGCTACAGAAAGAACGATTAGAGAGAAAAGAGAAAAAAGTCCTTTTTATTTGGCCTCATATGATGCAGTTTTGGAATTTAGGGGAGTACTCGAGATGGCAGTCAGATGTCTGTCTTGTTTTTAGGAGAAGCGTAAGAAAATTTTAGGAAGGTCATGATTATGTAGGTATCCTCATGGTATTTCTCAAGCTTAAGCAAAGGGGAGTAGATTAGAACTCCACGTGGGCTGTATGGCCAGAGGCTTGTGTGTGCAGGCAGAGGCACCATCATCAGTGAGATGCAGCTTGGGAGCATAATGACGTCCAAGACTCAAGAGGGGAGCTGCAGGTCAGACATGGATTTGTGGATGACGGATGGATGTACAAAGCTTGAACTTCAAATGCCTTAAAGTCAATTCCTCTGATCACGCCCCAACGTGTGCGAGATGGAATTCGTCAAGGAGAGAAATCTTGAGTTGACTAATTTCTTTCCAGAATTGATAAAGATGAACGACTTTATGTTTAATAAAGTAAGGATTCAAGCACGACGTTTCATTCAGTTTTGGAAAAGTCAAGTTCTGTCTTTGTGCACCCGAGTCTATTCTCCCCATTCCTAATGCTTTCTTTCCAAGGTGCAGACGGCGAGTGATCACTGGGGCCAACTGTTGCTCAGCTCAAAAGAACACTGGCTATGCACAAAGGCGTTGGCTTGTGACTGTGTGGTTGTGGGCAGACACTTTCCCTTTCTGTCTCTCAGGCTTCCTCTGTGAGGACCAACAAGGACTTCCCATCTTGGTGGACAATGTCCCTGGGCCTGTTGTGCCCTTTGTCTAAGGCATCTAAAATCCATGGATGAACTCTGTCATTGCTGTAGACAGAATAGTTAAGGTACTTTTATGCATAAGTACTGCTAATTATTCAAATGTTTGTCGATTCTATTTGCAGTCAGTAAGATATTAATTCATTTAAAGGCACCACTACATCTGTATTCTGTCTTGTACCTACTTATCTTCTCGGTTAAGCAATACGAAAATTACATCCACTATTTATACATTCTGGAAGAGTCCCTCGACTTACATTTTAGTCTGAAACTTGAATTCTATGGGACTAGCAGATCCTTGTAGAGTTAGTCCAAATTCCAAAATGGACTTTATGTTAATTAGGGATCAAGATTACAGAATTATCCCGGAAATGATTGGTTATCTCACTGGAACTGACAGCGGGGTGCTAATTGATTTATCTTAGAAACAGAGAGGCAGCAAGAGACCTTTTCAGTTGAGCTATGTTAATCAGTGCACGCAAAATAATCTCCCTTGTCTGATACTGAAACCCTTTCCCTTTCTCTAAGAAAGTTTTTTTTTTCATAAAAGATTTACTTAAAAACATTCTCTGTGCAAGTATGTGTCTGTGTGGATGCGCACATAGTCAGCAGCACGTGGGTGCCTGATGAGACCAGAAGATGGCGTTGGATCTCCTGGAGCTGCAGTTAAAGGTGGTGGTTGTGAGCTGCCTGATGTTGGTACTGGGGACTGAACTCCGACCCTTTGGGAGAATATCTTCCAAATATCAAGGGCTCTTTACCACTGAACCTTCTCATCAGCACCAGGAAGATGTCTTGTGGCAAAAATCCTATATCCAACTTTTGGTTTTTCTGTCTACTAGCTGTGTGTCCTGAGCTGAGTTATCCAACCTTCTTGAACTCGAACAAATAAAGCCTTTGAAAAGTGAAGGTAAAAGTATTCATCTCAAACGAATGTTCTGGAAGACAAAACACGAAGAACTGTGATCCCAAAATCTTGGTCTGTCATACGGAAAGTCTTGAAAAGAAAATGTGTTTGTTTAAGTCAAAGGTACAAAAGAAGACAAAATAAATTAAAACTCGTCTTACAAATAAAACGTGCAATTTAAACATCGAGTTGGCAGTTGTTGGCGTCACATTCTCAGGTGCCACCTCGAGCCAGGATGGGTTAGTTGGGCTAATTCAGCCCCTAAACGAGCCATGCGGTTTCGCCACCTGCAAGGCCGTTCCGTACTGAGTCCCGTCTCTCCAAAACTCAGAGGACCTGTTTCTTTTCGCCCCAGCCTTTCCCTTTCTTTCCCAACGAGTTTGGAGAATATTGTTCAGCGACCGCCTCCCTCCAGCAGCCGCCGACAGCGCCAGTCCCCGAGGCGTTTCTATTGTGAGGTCATGAGAACTCGAATGGATTGAAGGGGTATTCAAAATCATTTATTCGGAATGCTTTCCCACTTTGGTGAGGAGAGGAAGCACAGATGGCTGAGTTAGGATGCCTGCCAGCTCTTTCCTCACACCAGGCGTCAGGTGAATCCAGGCTGTGGGAAAACGAGCTGCTGGGGGAAGGCTTGCCGGCTAAAGAACCCAGAGAGTACTCTTCCCTTGATTTGGTCTCTGGTCCATCATGAAAATGACCAGAGACCTGTGCTTGAGTGTAACACTAATGTCGGAAATACTTGCTGCACTGCGGAGAGGATTATCTCCTCTATTGGTTCCTTCCGGAATCGCTCTGTTGGATGCCATGGCTTGGCTGGGAATAAGCCTAAGCTGGGAGACTGGAGCCTGCCCCCAGCAGAAAGCTGCCAGGATACAGGTTTCCCAGCATCACCTGCTGTTCCCTGCTTTGCCAAGCCGCTGAGTGGCTGGCTGCTTGCCTCTCCCTGAAGCCCTCAGGAAAGTTGTTTCAAATTTCCTCCACTCTGATCTGAGGGCTCCAAAGCAGCAGCTCCAGTTGCTTCCAGCTGCTTCATTGACTCATTCCTAAACATTGCTAATCTCCCACCGAGTTAACAAAGTTCTTTCAGGTTCCATGGAACAGAGGGAGCTCAGGTTATCAAAGCCAATAGGCTTGCTGTGGGGGATATGAGGGTAAAAGAGAAACCGTAAAAGCCTCTGGTTAGCTAGTTGGTATGCCAGGTTCATTGGTGGCTTCAGGCACCTGGTTAGCTCTAAAACATACTGTAGATGGGGTGCTAAATCCACAGAGATGCATTGTTTCACGGCTCTGCAAGCTAGATGACCTAGCTGCTTCTTTTTGAGGGCTGAGATAACCTCTTCTATCCCTCTCACCCGGCTTCTGGTGGCATACTCCCCTGACTTACAGAGGCATTATCCATCCATCTCTACCAGATTTGTGTGTTTGTGTCTGTGTCTAGATTCCCTCTGCATAGTTCCTAGTCACGTGGTGACCCATGAGCATCCACCCTGATAACCGTCACTTTAACTCAATTATAGGTTCGTAAGAGCTCTACATTCAATTAAAGTATTTAGGGTATTCTAAAGTATTGGGGAGTGAGAACTTCAGTTTATATATTTAAGGTGCATAGTTTAGCCTACAAGAATCTCCTGCAGACTCAGCCACACTCATCCGTAAAATTCTCCTTCCTCGGTTTCGGTAGTGACTTTTATCTGACGGTTTTCTCTCGTCTCTAACCTGTAGGTTCTGTTGTCTTATGACCTCCACTTCTGTGTCCCTCTCTAGAGCTCAGGCTCTTTTGGAAGAATTAAAACACCTAGAGAATCTCATTGACTCAGTTACTCACTAGGCTAGCCTAGCACATGCCTCTTGGGAAGGTTCCACTGCCCTGCGACAGGCGGCTTAGCTCAGGCTGTGACTTCTTCATCAGCTGCCTAGGCCATGATGTGGGTCTCATGGAACCTGGCCTGAAATCTTGGGCAGAAGTCACCTATGTGAAGATCAGTGCAGCATTTGGTTGGGACTCAGCTGGTCCCACTTAGACCTCATGATCTCAGGTTGATTCTTCTTTCAGGCTTCCACTTCATCTGTTTCCTTCTAAGGAACGTTTCTGTGCCTTCAGTACACAAGAGAAGATACGGTTGTAAGTCAGGCCACATTCTCTCTCTGCAGATATCAAAGGTAGCTTCTATATTACACCCAGCATATCCTTCTACGTAAACTTCGACCGGTCCCCTTGAGTCGGGTCTGGGGAAGGTCACAAAGAAGAGAGTTTGGAGCTGTGTCTTTGACAGTGTCTCTGCTTTGAGTTTAGGATTCTATAGTTAGCAAAATGCTTTCCTCAAATCTTAATTCTTACCACATGCCTGAGAGTGGATCTTCCTAGAGTTCTCACTATACATAGGAGCAATCGAAAGCTCAGAGGAATTAAATGATGTGTTAGTTGACTAGGGTTTTGTAACAAAGAGTCATGAACTAGGTAGGAGTACTAGCAAACTAATTTTTGAAAGGCCAGTATTGCTCTGATATTTGGACCAGATAAGAGCACTAGAAGGAAGGAAAATTATAGGTCAGTATCCCTTATGAATATAGGTGCCAAACCGCTCAATACATTCAAGGGGATAGTAGAAGAATAATAAGATCATGGCCAAATGGGATGGAATTCAAACCCCTCTTAGTTTCTATGTAAAATTATGCCATTTGCAGACTAGAACAATTTAGCGTCTTCTCTGCCTGATGTCTTTCTCGTCTTCTTTCTTGAATACTGTACCTAGGATTTCTTGAACCACACTGAGAAGAAGAGGCATGAGTAGGAAACCTTGTTTTTATATTTTTCTGATTTTAAAGGAAGTCTATCAACTTCCTGTCTTTGAACGTAGTGTTAGCTCTGGGATTATCATACATGGTCTTCATTTTGTTGAGTTACTTTTTCTAAACCTAACTTTTATTATGTACAGTTGTTGACTTTCCCCAAATGCTCATTTTTCACCTGTTGAGATGATTAGACGGCCTTTGTGCCCTGTTTTTAAAAGTAGTCTATCATATCCATTAAAGTGTGCCAACCATCCTTGCATTCCACCATATCTGTTCGTCGCCCCTGTAGGAAACCAATCCTTTGACACAAAGACCTTTGGTGGATATTAAGTATTGATACTATAGAATGTCTGAACAGGCAGATCCCCAGAAAGATATATGAATGTCCAACAGATAAATGAGAAAGTGCTCAAAATCAGTAATCAGGAAAATGCGAGCACAGTGATATATTACCTGACTCTTGATAGGATGGTTATTGTCAGCAAGATGAGACAATAGGAAGTGTTGATGTCTGTCCTAGTTTCATATATGTAGCTACAAAAAAATGCCCCCCCCCCAAAGCAACTTAGGGAAGAAAGAGTTCACTTGGCTTATAAGTCCAGTTACTATCTATTGTTATGAGGAAGTCAAAGCAGGAACCTGAGGCAGCTGGATGAGATAGAGGGAGGGGGCTTGGAGAATAACTACCTGTATACTAAGTGTTCATCTAGTTTTCTATACACTCGTACAATCCAGGCCTCTAATATAGGGAGTGATGTAATCCACTGCCTGACGTGGGAAGTCCTTCTGTATGCGTTTCTCCTATTGGTTAATGAATAAAGAAGCTTCTTTGTCCTGTGATAGAGCAGAATAGAGCTAGGTGGGGAAAACTAAAATGAATGCTGGGAGAAAGAAGGTGGAGTAGACAGGTGGCCTGGGAACTTTACTGGTAAACCATGAGCCTTGTGGTAAAATATAACACAATAGAAATGGGTTAATTTAAGATATAAGAACTAGCTAGCAATATGATTAAGTGATTGGCCAAGCAGTGTTTTTATTAATACAGTTAGATGTAATTATTTTGGGTCTGAGCCTCCAGGAACAAACTAGCAGTCTCTGGCAACAACTGCCAGCCAGGGTCTTTCTACTTTAGTTAAGAAAATCAAGGCAAACCTGAAAGACACACCGATAAGCCATCTCGATTCACACAGCTCTTCACTGAGACTTCTGTCCTAGGTGATTCTAGGCTGTGGCAAGATGACAAAACTATCCCAATGATGTGGAGAGAAAGCAACCTTGTTCATGGTTAGTGAAAAATGTAAATTTGTGAGCCAGCATGGAAACCAATCTGTAGGTTCCTAAAAACAATTAAAAATAGAGTTCCCATATGATCCAGCAATCCCACTTCTCGGTATATATTCAAATGAATTGAAGTCAGTAGGTTGTTCACTGTACAGTGTCAAGAAACAGAACCAACTCAACAGTTCATTCAGTGGATAAATGGATAAAGAAAACGTGGTATATTCTATGTAGTGGTATATTATTAAGACTCACAAAAGGAGTTCCTGCCATTTGACAATGTGGATGGACCTGGAGGATAAAAGCTAAATGAAATAGAACAGGGAGAGAATGGCAAACACCATATGATACCACTCATGTGCAGAATCTTTAAAAGGTTATAGTCAGTGACAGGATGAAGCAGTGAGTGCCAGAGGATGTGGGGCGAAGAGAGGATGAAGAAATAGTAAAAAAAAAAAAAGTCCAAATTACAATGAAGGACAAATGAGTTTTAGAAATCTGTGCAACGCAATGACAATAATTGATAATAGTACATTGCACGCTTGAAGTATCTAAGAGAGTGGTCTTAACTGTCATCACTACAAAAATAATTGTGCAAGGTTATGGATATGTTAATTATTTTGATTTAATCATTACATATATCTACATATCTCGAGGCATTATGTCATACCTCATAAAGACATACTGTCTGCTTTAAAACTCAAGAAAGCATAAAAAAAGCCTACTTCCAAAGACAACAACAACATTTCCGGATTAAACCACTGACCCTGACCTGAATGTGGGGGTTCCCTTCTGTAATCCTAGCACCCAGAAAATGGAAGTGGGAAGATTATTTTGAATTTAGCTCCAGCTTGGACTCTGTAGTGAGTTTTAGGCCAGCCTGGGTTACAGAGTGAGAGTTTATTGCAGTTAAACCAGCAAGCGTGCAAACAAACATGGTCATAATCTGATCTCTCTTAATTTCCTGGGAAACATTTAAATGCCTTCCTGTTTACCAGTTCTGTTTTTAAAATAAATACATTTTTAAAGTTTTATTTATTTTATCTTCTGCTTATGTGTGCCTACATATATTCCTGGTGCCTAAGGTGTCCTCAGAAGAGGACATTGGATTTCCTGGAATTGACTGATGGGTGGTCGTGTGGGTGCTGGGAATCAAACCTGGAACTTCAGCAAGGACAAGTGCTCTTAAACCCTGAGCCATCTCTCCAGCCTTGAAAGCTCTGGTTTCCCGCTATAATTTACCAAGTCTTCAAAGGCTGAACTGTCCTTCTATTTGTTAGTTTTTTAATTAACGTATTTAAAAACCAGATTTGGTAAAGTACATGGAAAGTGTAGACTTCTTTCCTGTCAAATGGTCAG